TGAAGAAATAAGATACTTTCAAGACAAGGAGGAACTGTGGGAGTTCGTGGCCACCAATCCAACCCTACAGAGAGCGCTGAAGGACATTACAGAGAAAGAGAGGAAGAGATACCAGGATTCCAGCAACAGTGGCAGAGAGGCCTCAGTGAATGGGGCAGACAATGGAATGAGGGAATAAGGTGGACAAATTATAGCAGAAAAGTGGAGTAGCAGACATGAGGCAGAGACGGTAAGCTAGTCTTTAGTAGAGACAGCTCTGAAACTATATTTAAAAAAAAAAAAAAAGCAGAGGTCATTGCTAATGGTGTATAACGATTTAAAAGACACAGTAGTCCTAGTGCCATATTTAGATTGAATTAAATTTGTTCTGGTCTGTCCACTCATATCAGATTTGAGGACACAGACCTCTAGAACCAAAAATAGCAGGTTATACCACGGTAACTATCCTTACTTTCCTATTGACTTAGGCTGAAATTCTGTATTACTTACATTGTCTTACTATGACTGATCTTAATTGTATCTGAATCATAAGACTATTGGTTGCCCTCGACTGATCCTATTTGAAATCGGTATGCGTGTTAGAATCAACCCTAAAAGTAGAGGAAACTACTCTGAGCATGACAAGATGTAAAGGATATCCATACTGGTATGAATCAGTAACAGCTCTCAAATACTACAATGCAGTCAAAGATAAGTTTTTATAAAAATAGGTGATAGTATGTTTAACTATAATAAGCCAGTGTTGTCGACAAATCTATTGAAAATAACAAGAGAAAACATAGTAGCTACGGAAGATCATTTATATTATAGTTTTATAAGTCCTATCCATTGCATGTTTATCTAGGAAATTGTTTCGTTGTCTTGTTATGACTTGGTTTTCCCTATAATACAGAGAGGATAAGAACAAATACTCTGAGGAAGAGACCTGAAAAACCCGAGGCTTATTTTGTAGCATTATAATATAAATTCTAGCAATCTATTGCTTGCTGATTAAAATGACTCTGGACTGGTTTCTTCAGCTCAACTTCAGCATATGCAGAGATGGGGACGGCTATCACAAAGAGAATGAGAGATGTGATGGTAGTTGGCATTGTCTTCCCTAATTTGGAACTTGAGGACCTAAAAAGACTCCATCATCCTGTAATGATTTGATTAGTTCTATAATATGCAATAAGTATAGAAAGTGGGTGAAGTTAGGGACAACTATTTGTAAGAAGCTAGAGACAGTTAGATAAGGTAGATCTCCAGTGGACTTGCTTTGAAATCTGTATTTCTTTAAATTGTTTTTTATTTTTTTTAAATGTTCTGTTCTGTTTTGATATGGTTAACCTTATCCTCTTAGAGATGTAAAACAAATAGGTGGGACTGATAATCATATTACGGAGCTTTTGTTCGGCCATAGAGCAGAATGGTTTGTAGGGTCATTTTTTTGAATGTCATTCTATATACTTTAATTCTATAACCTGAACAGCCATTTCGAAGGTGACAATTTGTAACTTATCAACTGGCAATTTCTTACCTTTTGTTTGTCTGTAATTTAGTATTATTTCTACCCTTTTTTTAAATCTCCATGTATTTTTTTTCGTTTCCTTTTCTTTAAATAAAAAAAAAATAAATAAAAAAAATAAAAAAGAGTTGGGCCAGGGATAAAGCTCAGCGGCACCATGGCATGAGGTCCTGAGTTCGATTCCCACTACCAAAAAAGAAGGAAAAAAGAAATAATTTGTTTTAGCCACTCGTGTTGGCACAAGACTGTTTAACTCCCAGTACTTGGGAAGCTGGGGCAGGAGGATCTCTGTGTCAGAAGCCAGTCTGGGCTACACAGTGAGTTCCAGACCAGGCTAAAGTTATGTAAGATTCTACCTCAAAGCAATCAATCAATCAATCCCCCCAAAAGAATTTAAGTCATTCAAAAGAGCAAATACAGTGAGCATATACTTTACTTTCCAAGAAAAATGGAAAGCTGCCTGCAAAGTAAATATTTCAACAAGTTACTTTTCTAATTATGTACTCATTTATATTTTGAATGTGAGAAAACAAATGTAAAAGATAAGGCTCCCTTCCTGTAAGACACCAAAGGAAGGGGCTGGGTATTTAGCTCAGTGGCATAAACGCCTGCCGTGAGTTCAAACCCTGGTACCGATAAAAACGAAAAAGACAAAAAAAAAAGAGACACCAAAGGAAGAGACCGATGCTCCAGGAGGTGGGGAAAATGCTGTTCACAAGCATTCCCCAGGTCATCATCTCCAGGCTGTGGAAAGTAAAACCACTACTGAAAGAGGCCTCTGCAGTCTGTAGCAGTGGTGGCATGCGAGCCTCAGGGGGCTGTTTGTGTCACAGAAAGTTCTAAAACATTTACTATCACTATTCTAAAGCCTTCTTCTGGTTTTCTCCTTGTCAAGTCAATTTTGGAGTTTCCTGTATTTAACAACTTCAAAAGCTGGGGATGCAGCTCTTGCCTATAGTGTGTGGCACAAGACCCTGGGTTTGGCCTCCAGTTACAGTCACACACATACTTCAAATAAAGAGACTCGAATCTGTAAGAGGCAAATATTCTATCAGCTCCCCTAAGTTTTCCAGGATTTAATTAATTATGAAAAATTAAGCTCTTAGAAACGATATCCACCTTCATTAATTGTAAACTAAATGACACAACCAAAAACTTTTAAGAAGATACACATGGTGCTGTATACTTGTACTCAGGAGGCTGAGGCAGGAAGCCACCTAGGGAATATAGTGAGTCTAAGGCCAACCTAAACTACAGAGACATCTCAAAAAAAAAAAAAAAAAAAAAAAAAAAAAAAAAAACCCAAAAAAGACAAACAAAACCATTCAAGGGAAAGTTAAGTTTCCCCACAAGAATGTTGCAAATGTCAAAATAACAGAAAGTATGAGCAATACTTTTAAGAACAAAGTCAAGGAAAGGTTGACTATCAAGATTTTATTTTCTCTTCAGATATAAACCATAAATACAGAATCATTGCACTAAGTTGCTTGAACTACCAAAATACAGTTCATGTAAGACCCTAGAAAATGTAAAAGCTCAAAATTAACATTCAATAAGCAAACTTTTCTGAAGTCGAATCGCCTTTCACTGTGAGAAGCAACTAGAAGCACACACACTGTTGCCTGCCCTCTTTGGCCATCAAGGCCTGGCCAGGCTGTGCAGCGGAGCCCACCAGCAGCAGCTCTACAGGAAAGCACTACCTCTCCCCTCTCCTGGGCTGACCGTGGGACGTTCAGTACCAATTTCCTCAACTCAGACTTGTTCTGGAAAATAAGCCACCTCAACTACAGCATTCAAGTTACACAACTGCAAGATGAGGTTGCAAGATCAGGGCACCAAGCAGGGACAAATCAGGGCCAGGCACTGGTGGCTTCCTTCTTGTCTTATGTTTTCCACAGTTCACTTCCACACGCAAAAGACTGTCTCCACCTTTCTAAAAATTCTTATTGGCCCAAACTTTCTAAGACTTAAAAGCCAAACTGTCTCAGGGATCAGCCTCCACAGTCCAGGACTGCTCTGATTCACAAGTCATTCTTTTTGTGTTGTTTTGAGACAGGGTCTCACTATGTAGTCCAGGCTGGCCTCAAACTCGCAGCAATCCTGCTTCTGTTTCCTGAGTGGTGGGTCCAAGTTTATTCTTCAGCACATTTCTGCTCCTTATTCTCCCTGTGCACTGCAGCGATATGTATGAAGGCTCCCAGTAAATTGTACAGCACTTCGAACACACGAGCATCTCAAAAGAACAGTATAAAACTGATTATAAAATAAAGAGTAGAAAACCACACTTTATACTAACCAAAAGCTGCCAAACCACTAAATTTTAGCCTATTAAATGAAATCACATCAACTTTATTTCAATACCGCTAGTAAAGAGCTTTCACACTGTTGTTACATGTGTGTTCACGTATGTATTCTTAAATATACACATTCTTCAGCATAGATGGCAGAGACTAAACTGTCTGCCTCAACTTCTCAAAATTAAACTGAATGAATGCAGGTACAGACAGTAGAGACTGTGGAGCAATCACTGCATGTTAAAGCTCTTTTCAAATGGGAACAGCCTGAGAAGATAGTCCCCAATAACAAACTTCACTCTTACAATCAAAAAAACAATGAAGTCATTATGGGGCTTTCCCCCTCTTGCTACCACTGTCACTCATAATAATTTACTAAATCAGATAACTAAAATTTGCAACAAGGAAAAACCACAATGTAGGAAAAGAGTAAGAACCGATACAAAACGTTGGTGTATTTTCCCCAATATAAACGCTATACTTTTGTAAAGTGCATTTCTCCCCAAAGGGGCTCGTAAACCATTAGGGAAGAGAAGGAAGTCCCTTCCCCAACAAACTAAGCCATCTCAACAGCGGGACAAGTTCTACAGCGAAACTGAAGTCCCGAAAACGTTTTCCCGGCCGAAGCTCTCGGGGCTGCCGTTCCCCGCCCGCCAGTCACAGAGGCCGGGGGTCTCCCAGTCCCGATCAGCCACGCGGCGGGACCCCGAGCCGACGGGCAGGGCGGCCAAAGCGCCGCTGGACACCGCCGAACCGGGGCCACAGGGTCGTGCAGGCCTTCGCCAGAGAAAGCGAGGCTTCCGCTTGCCAAGGCGCCCTACCTCATGCTGTAGGCGCCGGCGCCCAGCTCTTGCCCGATCCCCGAGAGGCTGGCGTCGAAGTCGTGCACCAGCCCGGACTCGATCACCTCGTCCATCTTGAGCACCCAGGCCATCTTCCGGCCTCGCCGCCGCCCCGCGCAGCGCGGCCTCCGTGTCCGGGGAGAGGGGGCCCGAGCTCCGCGGGCGCGTCCTGGGGGAGGGCGCGGATGAAGCCTCCGGCGGCGTGGCGAGTGGTCACCAGCGGCGGCCCGGGAGGCAGCCGAGACGAGGGCAGCCGAGGCCCAGCTGGCAGGGCACAGCGAGCCGGCGAACAGTTGCAGCGGGAGCGACCGGGCCGCCGGCAGAGCCTCCCTCCCCAGGACACCGGCCCCGCGCCTCATGCCGCCGCCGCCGCCTCCACCCACCCCCTGCGCCGGGGCCGCCGCAGCCCGCCCCACCCTGGGGCCCCTGGTCGCATCCCCCCACGGACTGCGCGGGCGCGGGCGCTCAGCCCGCTCCTACGACCGCGCGGCGAGTCCTCGGCACACCCGTTACTCACTCCCGGCCTCGACCCCCGGCCCGCAGCCCGCGGCCCGCCCGCCCGCCCGCCCAGGCTTCAGCGCCCCTTCGCCCCAGCCAACCCCGCCGACGCCGGTCCGCCGGCCCAGACGCTGGATTCCAGACGGGTCCGGGTCGGGCTCGCTCACTTCTTCCGCCTCCTCCGGCCCCGCCCCGGCCCCGCCCCCACGTTTGCTCCCGCCCAGGCCCACCCCTCGCGGCCTCCACTTCGGGCCACTCCCAGCGCCTCGTAGCTACGGAACAGCCTGGGGCTGCTTGCGGCGTGGCCCCGCCTACGCGGCTGGTTTCTAGTTCCTTCAACCAGAGAGCCGCAGCCCGCAGCAACCCAGGAAAAGGCGGTGCCAAAAGGGCTCCAGTTTCCGCCCATCCAGAGAGCAATATGATTGACAGGAGAACAGTGCAATAATGGCAAGAGTCTTAACGAGTTCCCGTGAGTCTCTGGGCCTCTGAGCTGCACACCGGGTCCAGATATGTTTCCGCTTGGGCGGGCTCGAAGGATACATTTGCTGGCAAAAGAAAAAATTCATTGGACCGCACTGGAGGAAGTGGTTCTGGTTGCCATTTCCGGAGATTTGCTCTGTCTCAGTAGTCCATTTTGTCCTCAGCGTGGAGGGAGGGACGGAAGAGCGGTAGATTGGCGCAGAAATCTTGATTGGCACGAGACTAATCCAATCAACTCTCCTGAAAAAACTCCGTGACGTCTTTTCTAGCATTTGTGTGGCCGCGAGTAGGGCTCCAAAGCGCCAAATTTCGGGCGTTGTAGCGGAGGTATGCTTGAGCTACTAGCCTTGTGACACGCCCCAGTCGCTGCTATCCCCTGGAGGCTAGAAGGTGGCTAGCTGCATCCCTGACAGGGCGTGCGCCTTTGTGGGTTAAGGACAGATCTCTCTCCCTGAGGGAGATGAAAGACCGGAAAGTCAAAGGTTGATTTACAAGGTGTGCATGCGGAACAGAATTCCTGAGGTTGAGATTTCCAGGATTCCCTACGGAAGAAGAGCTCGTCTTTCGGCCTCTCAGCTTTATTTAGCCTTGTTCAAGTCCATTGCCTTCAAAATAAGGCCCAGATGCTAACCCTAAGCCCTTCAGTTTGAGTACAAAGACAGATTGAACTCAAATTTCATCCCAGTAAATTAATGGCTCTTGGCTAGAATAATATTCATACCCTTGTAATTTAAATGTTATGCCAAGTGTGGTGGCACCGCCTATAATTCCAGCACTGGGGAGGGTGAGGCAGGAGGACCATTGTGAGGACCAGCCTGAACTGCATAGGAAGACCTTGTCTCAAAAAGACACCCCCCCCCAAAAAAAAAAAAATCGGTGGGGAAGTATGTGTGACCTGTTAATTACAAAGTCCCAGGACACAGGTGAAGAACAGTTCCTAAAGCCCTGCACATGGAGTTCTGTTGAGAACTCGACCAGGTTTTTGCAAGGATAGCTAGACCTGAGGTCAGCCTGAGGGGTGGGTGATAGAGAAAAAACAGTCCACATTTGAGTCTTTGCCATTGTGCCACTTAAGGTGGCCAGCCTCCTGCTGTAGGGTATACTTCTTTTCCTACTTTTACTTAGCCCAAAATTGCTCTGCAGAGCCTGTTTCTTTTCCTACCTTTAATGAAACTTTGCTACTGTTTGTACTTGACTTTGCTCAAAACAGAAAGAACCTGGAAACCCTCTGATTGTTTAGCCTTATTCAATATTCTGTTTTGATTGGTTTTATTCTGTTTTGGTTTTGGTTTGATTTTGCTATACCTGATGGAATGGACAACTTTGTGACGATAGGATATATTATGGTCGCTACTGTTTTTTAGAATCCTGCTTTGAAATTACGTACCAATTTTGCTGCTTTGTTATGACTAGCTTTGTTCTGTTTTGTTGGATTTTACTATCTTTAAAATAAAATTTTAGAAAAAAAATTTTTTTTGTCTTTTCCCTTTTTATCAGTACCAGGGATCGAACTCATGACTGCCTGCTTGCAAGGCAGACGCTTATGCCGCTGAGCTAAATCCCCAGCCCCAGAAAAAATTTTTAAAAAGAACCTAGAAACCATCTCCAGAAGGAGACTCCAGCACCCAAAACCTAGTAAAAATGGAACTAATAATTGAAATAGATTAGTTGATTACAAGATTAATACAATTGAAAAGCAGATTAAAAACTGCTTTTGCTTCTACCCTAAAGTCATTTGCTATCATAACTGTGACTCCCTGGGGCAGAGAAACTGCAGAATTATCCTATTTACCTTGGCAGAGACTTTTGTAACTTTTGACCTAAATATGGGAAAGAATTGAAAAGGACACCATATTTTAGCCAGACCAGTAGAAAAAGCTGGAACTGTAAGCTTGGTAATAAATTCCAGCTAATCAGCGGGACTTCAAGAAACCTTTTTGTTTGAGGAGGCTATATACATTGAGAGAAGAGTTTAGGCTCCCCCCAAGGAGTCATCTTTAACCCAGACTGTTAGTACCTTCAGGACAAAAATCTTTCTAGAAGAAGATAACAAAATCCTGCTTCTCAAGTTAACTTTGAAAGTACATACATTCATGAAATTTCCAGTCCCAAATCAGAGATTGCCAAGAAATAAAATAACATGAAGAATCAATTAAAAACCTCACAGGGCCATACTATGATATAATTAGACTTTATATATTCATGAGACATAAAGTTGTCAGCATGGAACTGGGCTGTGGTTTAAATGTGTGTTTCTCCAAAGCCCATGCAGAAATTTAATCCCTAATGCAATAGTACAAAGAGGTAAAGCCTGGCATGATGGCACATGCCTGTGATGCCAGCACTCTGGAGACTGAAGCAGGAGGATTACACTGAGTTTGAGGCCAGCCTGCACTACATAGACATACACTGTCTTCAAAAACAAACAAACAAAAATGAGAACCAACAGATGGGATTGTTATAAGGTGAATAGATCATGAGGGCTCCACCATAATGAATGGCATTAGTCCTTAAAGGGGCTTGAGGGAGAATTTCAGGCCCTTTTGTCCTTTTTACAGATGAGTACAACACTAGAAGCCTTTATCTTTCTGGGTGTGGTGTGCGGGCTTTTTTGGAGCTGGCTAGATCTAGAATGTATGATACTAGGATTCAGTGCATGCAGTATTAATTAGTCCACTGATTGGAATTAGTATAGTTCTGGGTATGACCATATAGAGTTACTGAAGACAAAATTCACTTCCTGAGTGTAGGTGACACCAACCAAAAGGCGTGAAGCCTGGATGAGATAAAAGGGAAAGCAACTGGGGCTATAGCTCTGCACAAGTGCTTACCTGTCAAACATGAGGTCATGAGTTCAATCTCTGGTACCACAAAAAAAAAAAGGGAAAAGGCAGCCTTGCTCCTGGTTGCTTGGAGCTACCTCCTTCATGACCTGTTTCTCCTCTGCAGAACCCCTCTGTCATGCCAGCCTGCCTTAGGGCCAGCCAACTATGGACGGAAACCTCTACAAACTGTGAGCTGAAATAAGTTACCTCCTTTAACATAGACTGCAATAAGGAGGGAAGAACAGAAAAAGTGGTAAATATGTGGATAAACCTCTAAATAAACATTGGCTATATAAAATAAAAATATTTGGGATTTTCTATAATATAAAAACAATGAGAACACAGCTCCTCTGATTATATTTTGTGGTGTAACAAATGCACCCAAATAACAAACATGTCATTGTTATGTCACATGGTTCTGCAGATTCCCCAAGTTTTGCTGCAATATTCTTGTGCCACATTTCTCATATGGTCAGTCCTATGACTGTGACTGCAGCTGAGTTCAGGTTTTTGCACTCACTTTATCACTGGATGCTGGCTGTCAATGAGCCATCACTTCAGGCTCTTGGAATGCCTGCACATGACCTATCCCTGTGGTCTTGACTTCTCCATAGCATTGTAGCTAGATCCCAAAAACATGCATATCAAAAGACAGGAAGCAGATGCTGTCAGTTTCTTAAGGCTTCTCACCAGGAACTGGCAGGGAATCTATTCTGTACTTTTTTCTATTAGCCAAGCAGTCAAAGAATCAGATTGATGAAAACAGTCAAATAATTTAAAGATGACATTCAAAATTTTCACCAAAATCCACCCTGTGGCCACAAATGTTTTGTATTTTTTTCACTTATAAAATATACTCACCCCCTCTTTTGGACCCTGCAAAGTTCTTTCTGAAACAATGTCAAGCTCAGTATCTAAGGTCCAGAATCTTGTGAGGTGCTGGAGCAGGTAAGACTCTTAAGCCCTTTGAGTGGATCCTCTTCTTTTGAAGATCAGTGAATTAAAAGGATAAGAATGATTTGCCTCAGCCACCACCATATATAGCAGTGGTAGGAAAGGCAAAAAAATCTGCTATTGATTCCTTTTGAAGAAGGGTGTTAAAGCAAAACTCTTGAGACCAATTGTTCCCTTGAAATAAAAAGATTTAATGAGCTGTTACAGATGCTGGCCAGACATGGCCAGGTCCTGGGACAACTTCCTAAACTCCCAGAAGCAAGGCTGGCATGCACTTGAAAATATGCCTATCAGACCTAAAATTTTTATAAAAGAAAATTGGGAGAAGGAAAGTATAAATTGTTTATATTGAACCCATATTAGCTATAGGTGAGAGGGATGGGATGACACAAAGTAAGAGAGGTTGCAGAAGTCCACAGAAGTACTTTTGTCTTCTGGATTGACGAGGGTTAAAAATTCAGAAAGTTCACTCAGAAATCAGATGTGGTGGCATCTAGTGACCCTGAGGTTAGAAGTCAAGGTTTCAACACGTATGGAAATGTGGAAGAGCCTTTTATTGATTTGACTCATAACTGAATGATTTTTTTTATGTCTCTTCTACTGTATTCTCTAGATCTTACAATTAAATTTAGGGCCTCTCCGAATGTTTCTTTTTATGGGGGGGGTATATAATCATGGAACAGTAATAGAAATTCTGAAGTTCAATAGGTCAAATGTTACTAGTTCTTTGTTTAGGATGGCATCTTATTTCCTGAGGATTTTCTATGGATCTTACCTCTTTTCACTTGGCTCTTGGATCTACCCTCTGAGTTATCTTTCCATTTCTGTAAAAAGCAGCCAGTATTTACAACTAAGTAGTTTTCTCATTTAGTTATCTAGTTATCTAATTATGCCTGGGTCCAAAGTCTTTTCAATTTGTATCATCTTTGTCTCTTTGAGTCCAAGCCAATAAATTTTTTTGGAGACAGACTTTCACTATGCAGTTCAGGCTGGCCTTGAACTTACTTTGTAGCCTAGACTGGCCTTAAACTTCCAGTGAGCCTCCTGCCTCAGTTTCCTAGTGCTGAGACT